AGCTGGGCCACGTCATATTTTATCTCACTGGCATCGCCGAATTGTGGTTTAACAACCACAAACACAACATCTCCACATGAAGCGTCTTCAAGACGTCGTGTGCTGAAGTGTTCAGTCGGCCGGCTGTCCGCAAGCAGTGGGCAGAACAGCGCTTGTGCGTCACCTTTCAGTAGACTGGCGAAAAATTTACCAGCTATATTGAGGACGTCGTCAACCGTTGTCGACGTGCGAATGACACCATGCCCGAATATGACAAGGTCAAATACATCCTGAAGGGCATCGACGATGGCGCATTTCAAATTCTCTTGGCTAGGAATCCGAGCACAGTTTCCGAAGTCGTCAGCTTGTGTCAGAGTTATGACGAGCTGAAGAAGCAACGCACTCTCTGTAGCCTCAGCGTGGTGGTGAGTCACTGTCTAGTTTCAACACCATGCCTGACAATTCACTACTGCTTCAGCAAGTCTGAGCCTTCGTCCGTGAAGAAGTCGCCCGCCAACTTTCCCTGGTGCCCTTTACTCACGAGACCACCACCGTCTACCTGCCCCGCTTCGCACTGCTATTTCGGAAGAGGTTGCCCAAGCTGTTCCCCTTGCACACCACGAGCAGCCTCTATCTAGCCGTGTTCACTGCTCGCGTGTTGCCCAGCCGGTAGGCGCCCCTGTCGCCTATCCACCAGCCGTGCAGCCTGTGGCTGCGCCCCTACCCTATGCAGCGCAGCCTGTGGCCGCACCGCTCACATATGCAGACGCTGTGTGTAGGCTTCCGCAACCGCCTTACACTACGCGCTCACAGCCCGCACACCCGGCTGCTTGTACTCCACCTTGGGCGGCACCACCAGTGGGCAATCCTTGGAGGACGCCCGATAACCAATTGATTTGCTACGCCTGCTTCACTCCTGGACACGTTGCCCGCTACTGCTGCCATCGACCTCAGATGTTCGGCGACTACGCCGTGTCGTCGCAACCAGGCAGCCAACCCTTCGCCCAATATGGGCCGGTCTCGTCACCTCGCTAAGCTCCTACTTGACCACCTTGACTTCCCGGCGCAGCGCGCACCCTCTCCTCGTCGGCGATCGCCCTCTCCCATGCGTCGCCGGCAAGGACCCTCCGACCAGGAAAACTAAGCACCGCAGTTCAAGAGGCAAGAACTGTCTAAGCCAAGAACTGTTTAAGCCCTCGCTCCTCTCCTGCTAACGTGGTCGCAGTAACTGTTGAAGGTTATTGTACTTTTGCTCTTGTGGACACCGGTGCCGCTATTTCTGTTATTGCCGCTAATCTCTGCCGTTTATTACGCAAAGTCACGATGCGGCTTTCGGGACTGTCGCTCCACACCGCAAGCGCACAGCAAGTAACGCCTCTCGCAGCCTGCAGTGCAAGAGTTTCTATCGAAGGCATTCTTTACTTCGTGGAGTTTATTGTCCTCGCTGTCTCTTCGCATGACGTCATCCTCGTGTGGGACTTCCTATCCCGCCATAATGCCGTCATTGACTGCGCACGCGCTCAAGTTGAGTTTTCACCCTTGTGCGTGCGATGTCTCATTACTTGGCCCTCTTCATTAGCCGCCGAAGTTGCTCATTCATGAAGATGCTGATATTCCGCCTGGAAGTTTCGTACTTAATCTGGTTTCATGCAATGCCTACACTGATGCTACAGTCCTTTTTATGCCTTCCGATATGTTCACGAGTCGTCGAGCTCTGCCGCTGCCTTTCGCAGCAATTGACCTTGCCGCTGGAAGAAGCAATATGTTTGTACTCAATCCGCTTTCCACGCCTGTCACTTTGCTTGCGGGGGAATGTCTTGGCCGCATGCAGGATCTCAACCCTTCGTCTTTGGTTGATGTGCCGGATGACTACTGCGGCCACCCAAAAGCGCTGTTGGCACTCGAGGAGCCGTCCAAGAATACGTTTTCTAGTGCCATCGCTGACACCCCCACTCTCACCGAACATGCTGACCTGCTTGATCTTGAATCTTCTGCATGAGTTCCGGAATTCTTTCGATGTGTCGCAATCTCAACTGGGACGCACGTCGCAAGTCAAACATCATGTTGGCACCAACCTACACCAGCCACTGCGTCACCACTCCACGACGTGTCTCCACTAAAAAGCACCACGTCATTAACGATCAAGTCGAAGATACGCTTCGTAGAGACGTCATTTGACCATCTCACAGACTCTGGGCGTCTCCTGTCGTCCGGGTGCGTAAGAAAGACTGATCTATCCTATTTTGCGTGGACTATCGTCGTTTGAATAAGATAACCCGCAAGGACGTCTATCCTTTGCCTTCACAGATGCACCCTACGGAAGACGACGCATCGTCCACGGCCCTAGAACCTCCTGTCCCGACTATGCAGAAAAGCTTGGCACAGGCCACGGGAGCCCCAGTCTCATCACACATCCCGCCACCAGCGCCCCATCAGCCAGCCTCTTCTGTCGAAGTGTGATGTCCAGGATAGGCCAAATCACCCTCAACAGGCAAGCGCTGGTGCCAGTCTACCTATACCTGACTGCTTGCAAGCCCTTGTTCTACAAGGTTAGGCCGTTGGTCTCTCCAACGCTCCTGTTACATTTCAGCGATTAATGGACCAGGTTCTTGGGCATCTCAAGTGGTCGATGGCTTTGGTCTATTTCGACGACATAATTGTCTATGCTCCTACATTTCCCGAACACTTCAGGCGTTTGGAAATGGTCTTGCGTGCTCTCCAAGACGCTCGCCTGTGCATTAAACTTTCCAAGTGCTTTTCCGGGTTTTTGGAAGTTAGTTACTTGGGGCATGTAGTCAGCGCGAAAAGCATCAGCCCTGATCCCCTGAAGCTCCAATCCATTGCCTGTATTCCGCCTCCCACCACGGCTATGTAGCTTAAAAGTTTCTTGGGCTTCGCTTCATATTTCAGACGCTTTGTTCCTGACTTCGCTTCTCGCGCGGTACCTCTCAATGAGCTACTGGTGAAAGTTCACTGAAAATGGGGACCCGACCAAGAAGCTGTCTTCCGCGACATCAAGACTGCCCTTCAAGCACTACTCACGCTGGCGCACTATGTCGAGAATGCCCCGATGATTCTACACACCGATGCCAGTGGTCTTGGCCTCGGAGCTGTTCTCTGGCAAGTTAACGAGGACGGGCAGGAGAGACCGGTCGCTTATGCTAGCCGCCGGCTCAGTGAACTAGAGAGCCGATACCACGCCTCTGAACTTGAGTGCTTGGCGGTAGTTTGGGCAGTCGAAAAATTTTGTCCGTATGTTTATGGTAAAAGCTTCACGATCTGTTACCGACAATGTCGCCCTTCGCTGGCTTCAAACAAAAAAGACCTCAATGCTAAGTTTGCCAAGTGGGCTCTCAAACTCCAAAAATACAACTTTTCTATTGCCCATCGCAGCGGCGTTCGCCATCAAGACGCTGACTACCTTTTTCGCCAGCTTTCAGCGGCATCTTTTCGATCTCTGCAGTGCTTGATTTACGAACTACACAGCTACAAGACGCAGAAATCGTCGATTTAACCCGACGACTATCCGGGAAAGTACGCACTCCCAAGCGTCGTCGTGAAAGTCTTTCTGGCTCGTATGTCGTCCGAGAGGGAATTCTTTATCACCGAAATTATCGAAATGGGTTGTGCGTGCCTGTTGTGCCAGTAGCCATGCAACAATCGGTGCTATTCATGTGCCACGACGCTCCGACTGCCGGTCACCTCGGGCTGCACAAGACGCTGGCACGCATCAAAAAAAGGTTTTGGTGGCGGTGCATGCACAGTGACATTTCCCGCTACGTTTTGTCGTGCACAGTCAGTCAAGCATGGAAGGCCACCACAAATTCGCAACCGGTCCGCATGCAACCGATCCCTCCTTAGGAAACACCTTTTGAGATTCTTGGACATCGCGTGGCAACAAGTTCCTCATCATTGCCACAGACTATCTCACGAAGTGGACCGCAGTCAGGGCCGTCCCTGACTCTGACTCTGCACGTCCTCATGTTCATCAACGAGTGCGTCATTTTTTAGCAAGGCATGCCACGCTTGCTCATCACTAACTGTGGAACGGCCTTCACGTCCCGCGCATTCAGAAACCTACTGAACGACCATAGAATTCGGCATTCCGCGGCCACTCCTCAGCACCCACAAACGAACGGTCTGGTGGAACGCACAAACCGTACCATAAAGGACATACTGTCGTCATACGCGAGTCCCGGTCATAACAGGGACGAATACGTCGCCACAGCTGTCTTCGCCCTCAATACCTCACAGCAGGAAATCGCACGGGAGTTACCATTCAAGCTTGTCTATGGAAGGACGCCAAGGCTTCCTTGGTTTGAACACAACGCAAAACTGTCTGGATGACACTAGTACTTCGGGGCTTCTTTGGAAGGCTCCCTTTAGAGCGCACCTGGCCATAGCGCGTCAGGCGAAATTTCGCTTGCCTTCCAATGAGAATTACACCCCTTTCAAACCAGGAGACCTAGTGGTGGTTTGACGCACCCAGCTTGTTCCACAGTGTTGCCAGATGTTTTTTTCCCCGGTATGTTGGTCCAATTCGCGTGGTGAAAGCCATAGGCCTTGTTACGTTCCGCCTAGAAGTTATTCCCGAACTGGGCACCAAAAGCAGAAACCATGTTTTTCCCACACATGTGAGCCAGTTGAAACTTTATGTGCCGCATGATTGCTGTATTCACGCCTCTTCATTTTCTGGCTCAGACTCCAGGGGAGAGGGGGCGGCGAATATAGTGGATCATAGCAACGGGGGTGACCGGCGTGTGAGGGGTAGACCGGGGAAAAAGAACAACAAAGACAGTGTTGTGTTGGATTGTGTTCGAATTAGTGGCATTGTACGTTACAATAATAAGTAATGTTATCCTTTCCTTATATCTATTTTAAAAAAACATTTTCAGCTATTTCAAACTGTCTGTTTTTCGATTTCTTTTTTCAGTTTTAGATATACAACCATATCCTCAGTCATCTTTGCTTCGTTATTCTTAATGTTTGATACGCTTTCTCTTTCATTTCTTTTTTTACAGGGGAAAGAAGAAGTTTGTGACTGTGGTGACTGGATTGAGTACCTTTGATATTGACCTGAAAGATGCATCAAAATTTTTTTCCCACAAGTTCTCCTGTGGTTCATCAGTGACTGGAGATGATGAAATAGTCATTCAGGGTGATGTAAAAGATGACATTTTTGATGTCATCACTGAAAAATGGCCAGAAATCGATGATGAGTTAATAGAAGACCTTGGAGATCAGTCTCGCTAAATCTGTACAAAATAAAATGGTTTGAAACTTTTTTTTTTTTGTTGGAAAAGAAAAAAAATACGGAAGGTCAGTTGCATATTTACACCACCATTTCAGTCTGTCATAACTTTTTTAAGCAGGCAGCACAAACAGCTGAAGAGCGAAATCAGTGCTGCTTGTACTCACAATGTTGACACTGTGACTCCAATATAGTTCCATTTAATGTGCTAAACTTAAACCTTTTGCTTTGTTAAGATTTGGTTTGGGCATAGGTTGGCAAAACTTGTGGACCTCACTCAGACTCACTCATGAAATTAATTCCGAGCTTGGGACTCACTCACTTGCACTCATGAAACTTTTCCTCAACTACACTCGCTCAGACTCAAACTCGCGCTGCTCGATCCAAGTCCAATTGAGTCAACTTGCGAGTCTTTTAGTCTAAAATTAGCTTTTTGACCATAAAGTATATGCTTTTTAACACCGATATCTCAAGTATGAAGTAATCGATGCTCTTCTAGGCGCCGTTTGACAGTGTATCATCTTAGAAAATGAATTCTGAGTGCTTGCGAACCAGTAAGGTCATTTTCAGGGGTGAAGCTCCTAAAACCGTGGGTTTGTCTAAGCATGTCTGTGACCGATTTCTAATCACGTAGTTGTATGACTCACTCAGCAAGTGGCGCTAGTGTGACAGACAGACGCACGGAAAGACGCATGGAGGGATGGAAGCAAGAACGGACAGACTGATGAATCTATGGACGGACACTTTGCCCCACTCATCATCACTCACTCCGTAGATATGCTGCGATTTTTTTTTTTTAGAGATAACAGCAAAAAATATATTTATCAATAATTTCCCTAGATGAGTTGGTAGGGGAGGTCAGGACCCCCCCCCCCCCCCCACGTAATTCACGCCTCTGATCAACAAATGTTGAACGTATAAATGTGAATCTAAATAAGGCTGATAGTAATGCTGAAAATCACTGGATAGGGACCTTAGGTTGGCAAAAAGAAGCGGAACTCGCTTAAATGCATATTGCGCTTTGGTCTCACTCCGACTTGCACTCACCAAAATTTTCTTGGGCCGAACTCACTGTGACTCACACTCGCAAAAATTTTCTTCAATAGTACTTACTCGAACTCAGACTTGGGAAAATTTTACTCACTCAGACTCGAGGCTTGATTTGAGTCCGAGTGAGTCGACTCTCGAGTAAGTTCACCGACCAATGGGTTTGGGTCTTCGAAGTTTCTTGCAAAGTATGCTCATAGCATAGTATTCTGTATGAATGTGGTTGATAACACCTGTCAAATATTAGATCTATGGCTTCATTTTCTACCAGTTTCAGGAGCCTGGTGGATCACAAAAAGCGCGAGGGGGATGTATTTACATTGATCTTAGAGGAGCTGGCAATTAGCCAGAACATGTCACAAGACAATGGTGGAAGTGCAAAGACTGAATTGTAGTGAAATAGCAGACATCCATTTTATGATTAGAGTAGAATCTGCATTTTCATATAGTGTGCGAGAGTCAAAAAAACTGGCACACCACACTGCCTTGCACTAAGTCTAGGTTATACTAAAACGAGTTCAGATTATTGTGTGTAGTTTGTTGCTGTTAGCCAGCTGGCTTTTGAAAGAAAACCTTCCCATGTCAGAGACAGGTAATTTGTGAAGAAGGTTTGATGCCAGGGTTCCAGCAAGTTGATGCCAATCTCCAAATACGGTGGCTCAAATCTGGATGGTGATTGTAAGAGAGAGAAAAAACATTTATTGAATTAAGCTTGTGAGTGAAGGTGGGAGGGTCCCTTATTCCAGAAACCTTCTGGCCTGGACAGCCCGCCAGGCTCGAGCCTCGGATCCCGTACGGGAATGCCTGGTTGACGCAATCGCAGGCTGCGCTATGTGCCGCTTCATTTCCCTCGAGACCTTCGTGACCCGGAATCCACACGATGCATGTGTAGGCAGGAGGATTGTCCATGCGCATTAGTAGTCTAATCGCCATTGTGGAGACCCTGCCTTTCAGGTAGTTCCGTGCCGCTGTTTGTGAGTCCGTAAAGACCACGATGAGATCCTCATTCGTCTGGGTGGCAACTGCTACAGCAGCCTCTTCAGCTGTTTCCGCACATATGGCGAGGATAGTCGACGATGCCAGTACCGCGCCTTTGTAATCTGTGACGGTAATCGCAAAGGCGTTACGTCACGGATATTTGGCTGCGTCTACGTGTCGCACCTGCGGGTCATTGCCATGGTTTTTCGGGATTATGTTAACCCTGGCGAGTCACGTTGCTCGATGATGTTGAGTATGCATGTTTCGAGGTATCTGCTGAATTTCAAGGCATTCTCGGAGCTGTGACGGTACTTTGCCTTTGCGTTCTTTGTTTGGTTCTAGGGTGGTCTAGTATCCCGTGCATCGAAGGACGGCTTGCCCTGGTAGCGACAGCTTGAGTTTCTTGACCTGGTTGATGAGGTGTGCTTCGGTGAGTTCTTCCCACGTATTGTGAACTCCCATGCGAAGCAATCAATCGGTGGAGCCGGCTGGCGGCAGTCCTAGGGCAAGTTTTGTAGCCTTTCATATCAGCAGATTAAGTTTTTGTTTCTCCGCTGTTTTCAGGTTGAGGTAGCGAGTTCGGTACATTATGCGGCTGTAAATGAGTGCTTGTACCATTTTTAAGGTGTCGTGCTCTTTGAAGCCACTGCGGCGGTTAGCCACCCTTCGGATTAGGTGAGTGAGCTGTGTCACGGTGTTCTGCGGCCAAGGTAGGGCAGTGGAGCCAGACCCATCTTAATGTATATGTAGTCCAAGGACTCGAACTGTGTCAACTTGTGGTATTTGGACTCCTTGTAGGTCAGGTGCGTTGTAGCTTGGTGGTCTACCCTGTGTGCGTGTCGCAAATACGGCTTTTTCAGAGCACATTGGAGTCCGCAGGTCTTGAGATATTCTTCAGTGATGTTAACCGCCTCTTGAAGTCGGTCCTCCTGTTCACCGTGCTTGCACCTCTTTCCCGCATAGTGATATCATCGGCATATAACGCATGATGTACCCAGGGACAGTGTCCAAGAGATGTGGGCGCTTAAGGAGGGCCAAGTTGAAAAGTAGTGGTGATATCACTGAGCCCTGCGGCGCGCCCTTGTTAGGGAGTTGAAAAGGCTCGCTCCGGATATTGGCAATCCCTACAGTGGCTGTGCGGTTGGTGAGGAAAGCCAGCATGTAGGCGAATGTTTTGGCACCACAGCCGACATCTTCAAGGCTACGCCGAAATACTTCATGGCTCACATTGTCAAATGCGCCCTTTTCGTCCAGAGCTAGAACAGATGACTTACTGTGCTTGCTCAAGCAAAGAAGAATATCTTCCTTTATCTACAAGAGGACGTCTTGTGTGCTGAGCATTTGGCGGAAGCCGAACATGGTGTTCGGGTAGTGCCCATTGTTTTCGAGGTATATGGTGAGCCGCTCGTTTACCATGTGCTCAAAGAGTTTCCTGGCGCGAGAGGTAAAGGAAATTGTACGAAGATTCGCAATTGAGATTGGATTGTTTGGCTTGGTTACCATGGTCACGTGACCTCCGAGTGCTTCCAGGCTTGTGGTAGCTCGCCCTTCCTCCAGCAGTCGTTATAGTGCCAAAGGAGCGTTGTCAACAACCAAGGCAGTAGCTGTCGTAGGTACTTATTGGTCACTCTGTCTTTTCCTGGGCTCGTGTTGCTATAAGCTTAACAAGGGCCGTGTGTAGCTGTGTCTGCGTGAAAGGCTGGTCTAGTGCTTCGTTCGGTGCTCCTCGGTACTCCCTGGGTGTCGAAGTGTTGATGGAGGTAGCTTGCTAGTTAATAGAGCCACGCAGCTTTGCTTGAAGTTCTTGAAGTAATTGGTGCTCTGTGCCCTCATAGTTGTGCATGAGCCGCTGAATTGAATGTCTTTGATTAGTTTTGGTGTGGGTGTCGTCGATCAGGGCTCGAAGAATGCGCCAAGTCTTCTTTGTGCTCAGTGTCCCTTGAAGTTTGTCGCAGAAGGACCGCCAGTTCTGGCTCGCAAGGTTTTCAGCGTACTCCTGTGCCTGCCTGGTGAGTACGGCAATGAGGCGCTTGAGCTTGTGGTTGAGGTTCTGCTGTTGCCATTCTTTGATAAGCGATCTTCGAGCTTCCCATAGGTGAAGGAGACGATTATCGACTGCCGGATTGTCCTCATTCAAGTGTATCATTTTGGTATGTCCGTCAGCAACACTTACAATACTGTTTAACCAGGCTTCCATGTTTTCGATAGTCGAGTCATCATCAAGGTCATTCCTGTAGGCGGTCCAATCTGTGAGCCGAGCTTTTCCTGTCTTGAGCGAGCCGGGAGCCTGTTCAACTTCTATTTGAATGACGTGATGGTTGCTCCCTAGAGTGTCCGGTAGTCTTGTCCACGTTGCGTTGTGCACGTCTTTAGTGAACGTGAGATCAGGATTAGTATCTCTTGACACGCTGTTGCCCACTTGGGTTGGATGGAGCAAGTCATTCTACAGCATCAGACCGTGTTGCTGTGCAGCATTGTGAACACGCACCCCCTTCTTGGTGGTGCTGTGATAGCCCCAGGCCGCGTGTGGAGCATTGAAGTCTCCAACTAAGACAAGTCGGTTGCTGTTAACCATTTGACGGAGCTCGTGGACGAAGTGGTCGTATTGGTGTAACTGCTCCCGTGGAGGGCTGTAAAAGTTGGCCAGGTATAAGCTCTGTTGAGTCTTCCGAGTGGGGATTATCTCCACAATGGTGTGTTCGATGCCAATGTCTTTAATTTTATGAGCCTGTGTAGTTAGTCTTCTGGACCAGAATTGCGGTGCGGGGTGAGCATGTGAGAGTGCTGTAGCCAGGGAGCTTGATTTTTTCTGTGTGGGTTTCCTGCAACGAGATCATATCTGGATTATTTGTTCTAACATATCTTGCAAGTTTACAGAACGAAGTCTATAGGATCTGCAATTCAAGTGCCAAATTCGAAGAGTGGGGAGTGGCTCAGACAGTCTACGTGAGGGAGCTGCCATTCTGGCAGTTGATTTCCACCTGGTTCCGGTCGTTAGGTGCTGTCGATCGAATTTCCGCTGAAGTTTCATTCCCCAAAGTCTTTCGCTCTTTCCGTT